GGCCAGACTGGTCTCAAACTCCTGACCTTGTGATCCACCTGCCTTGGCCTCCCAAAGTGCTGTGCTTACAGGTGTGAACCTGCCACTGTGTGGCTGCCAGAGCTGAGGATTTAGAAATCCAGAGGTCAGGAGACAGAGACTCTACTTAGGTATCAAGTGAACTTTTTTTGCCAAAGTTACTCTGCTATAGCTCTATGCTGGAACATTTTCTGAATCAACCCTGAAAATGGGAAAAGAAAAAAAAAAAAAAAAGCAGCTCATTTTCTTTACACAACATATAAGGATTTTACATTCACATGTAAAATTAGTACTATGATTGCACAGTGTGGAAAACATCCAAATGAAGCATTTAGCCAAGACCAGTCTATTTAGCATGTTATGACAAGGACCAGCCTTGGCCCAGGAGCCCTGCCGCACGTACAGAGATGTAGGGAGCTGAACAAGGGCACAGGAGCTAGAGTCAGGCTGGCTGGTTTTGAGTTCTGACTCCATTACTGTTAAGCTTGAAAGAGTCACTTAACCAGCCTGGGATTTAGTTTCCTCATATGTGAAGTGGGATGGTGAAAGTAAGGAATTCACAACATGGATGAATCTCAAAAGCATTAGGCTAAGGGGAAGAAGCCAGAACAAAAGGCTATGTTACTATACGATTCCATTTATATGACATTCTGGAAACAGACACAAGACAGATCAGTATTTGGAGGTTCGTGGTGGGGGGATGGGGTGGGGCAGTGACAGGATTGACTATATAAAGGTGCATAAGGGCACTTTGTGGGGTGATGGAAATGAAATATTTGATATTTTGGTTGTGGTGTGGCTATATGATTCTACATACATTTGTAAAAACTCATCATCTTGTATGTCTAAAGAGTGAGAATTTTACTGCATTTAAATTATGTCTTGATAAAACTGACTTAAGAAACACAAATAGTTAATGGATTCTTGCCACCACTAAATTAAATAATGTCTGTAAAGCACTTGGAACAGCACCTAGGAGAGAGTGAGCCCTCGCTGTGCATTTGCTCCTGTTACCAAGTCAGCTCTTTTAAGTTTGCATGTCTCTGAAATCCAACAAGAAATCTTCAGAAGGTGGGATGAAAAAAAACTGAAATGTTTTTCATGAATTCCTAACATGATGGGAGATGTGAAGGAAGTCTTAAGTTCATCGGAATAAATGCACAATCTTCTAATGTACCATTAAAAAAGGCAGCAACTATCACCAATATGAAAAGTAGACATGGGTAATGAATTAAAATGGTAGTTAATCTATACTGTTCTCTGGCCATGTGTAACTACTTACTTTAGAATGTCAAAAGAAATGCTTGGACCAGTCAAAAATGCAGGCTACTCTTTCTCTCACTCTTTCCCCAGAATCAGTCCTCCAAGGCTGCATGATTTCTACAAATTTTTAAATCTCTGCAATTTTTTAGCCCCAAAACTCTGGCATTAGCCGCTTCAGCCACCCTGGGCATGATCCAGACATAACAGTGAGATGGCCTTGGAGGGTGTTCACCTGTGCATGAACCATGGTCCTGCAATCTTCTCCTCATAAGGTTGAACTTCTGAGGCCTGAGGTTGAATCCTAAGCTCTGCCATCAACTGCTGGATGATGTGGACCAAGACTCCTATGTCTCTATGCTTTAGTTTTCTCATCTGCAAATTCCAGGAGTAGCCTGGGTGACCTAGAACTGCTTAACAATCCAACTTCTAGAATTCTGCAACCTCTGGAATCGGGAGGCAAACATACATTGGTTCTACTCCTTTTGTTTTTTTTTTTTTTTTTTTTTTGAGTCGGAGTTTCGCTCTTGTTACCCAGGCTGGAGTACAATGGCGCGATCTCGGCTCACCGCAACCTCCGCCTCCTGGGTTCAGGCACTTCTCCTGCCCCAGCCTCCTGAGTAGCTGGGATTACAGGCACGCGCCACCATGCCCAGCTACTTTTTTGTATTTTTAGTAGAGACGGGGTTTCACCATTTTGACCAGGATGGTCACGATTTCTTGACCTCGTGATCCACCCGCCTCGGACTCCCAAAGTGCTGGGATTACAGGCGTGAGCCACCACGCCCGGCCGGTTCTACTCTTAATGCCTACCAGCTGTAAAAATTCTCTGGGCCAGAATTTTCTTTTATGTAAGATGGAATAATAATAATACCCACGTCCACAGGCTCTCTATGAAAACCAAATGGATGATGTATATGAAAGCTCTTAACAGAGTTTCTGTCCCCCAATTTTATCTTTCTTTCTTTTCATCTTTTACTCCTTTCTTCTTTCCTCCCTCCCTTCCTCTTCCCTGTGAGTATAATGGACTCCCACATAGTTTTAAAAATGTATATTTTTGTTCAATTTATTCACAAAGCACATCTAGTCCACATTCATAGTGTCGTATGCCAAATGCTATTGCCTGGTGAAGATGTATTTAAACAGAGAGTTTAAATACATTTTTGACTATGACAAAGGTAAAACAGCTCAGATTGCTAAAATTGGCCTCTTGTTCTTTTAGATATTTGAGTTGATTTTCTAAAAGTTTCTTTACCCGTTTCTCACTCCATTCATTTACTTGTTCATTCAACTAGCAATTTTGAGCCACTCTATATGTGCCTGACATAATACTAGGGATACATAAATGAATCAGACATTGGCCAGGCACGGTGGCTCAGACCTGTAATCTCAGCACTTTGGGAGGCCAAGGTGGTGGATCCGTGAGATCAGAAGTTCAAGACCAGCCTGGCCAACATGGTGAAACCCCGACTCTCTGGAACCTGGGAGGTAGAGGTTACAGTGAGCCGAGATCACGCCACTGCACTCCAGTCCCAGCAAAGGGAGACTGTCTCAAAAATAAAGTAAAATAAAATAAATGAATCAGACATTGTCCTTAAGTTCCAGAAGTTGCCACATGAATGTAAGGAGGCACAGGGGATGTGATAGAAGTCTGTTCAGGATACAGTAGGGGCCAAAGAAGGGCACAGTAGGTTCTTTCAGGGAGGAGTTAGGAAAGGCTGCACAGGATAGTTGAGGCTACACCTCAGGTCATGGCAGATGAGTAGGTGTTCACCAAATCAAGGTGCTGACAAAGGGAACTGCATGCAGAGAGAGCAGGATGCACAAAGGCCTGAGTGTGTGCAATAGCCTTGTATAATCTGGCAAGTGCATTTTGGTTGCGGTCATGGGGATGTAGGGTACAGAGTGTTGGACCTCATGAAAGAAGAAACTGGGAGTGTTAGAAGGGTTCTCTTTAAGCAAATACTGTCTTAGGACAAGGAGACGTCAGATGCTGCAAAATTGTTCGTGGCAACAGAAGAAGAACTCACCAAGTCCCAACTCCACTGCCCACCATTCACACTGGTGGGCCACAGCTCTGTTGCATGCATTGGGTCTGGACACAGCTCTTCAGGGTTTTCCTGGAACTCTACAACACTTGGATTGATTCCTTTCTATTTCAGGTCATAGTCCTTAGAGGCAGCACTAAATGGAAGGCATTTGTGTAATTCTGATACCTTGATTGAGTTTTTCTTCATAACAGGACGGGATTTTTTACTGTCTGCACAGTCATTGCTCAGGCACAAGATTAAGAAATAAATTTGTTGTTTATAAGGTGAGAACCCACAATATTCAGTAAGGAGTGAAGAGTTGTCAACAAGAGAATCCAGAGTTACCAAATGTCTAAAATGTGCCAGTGCTTTTTGACATTCTCACAACCCAGTGTGGAATTCAGATATTTACCCCTCTGATTACAAATTCATACTCCTTCCATTTATACCACCTTGCCTCTAAGTCTCTTCTCAAAGTGCCTTGGGTAGGTCTTAACCTTTTGCTTCTAAGGAGCCAAAAAGAAAGAAAAGTGATGAGAAGAAAGTGGTCTTCCCGTCTCCTCATGTCTCACGGAGGCTGCTGATGAACAAACACTGAGAGTTCCAGTTTAGATTTAGGTGACAGAAAAGTCTATGCCTTGGAGCTAATATAAGAGCATTGCTAAACTCTCCTGGCAACCTACGAGGTTGGGAAAAGCACCATAGACACTTTGACTCCTAGTCTTAAGTGGAAACATGAAGAGAAAAGAGTTCCCTTACAGGTATCGTGAAGTTTTGGGACAAAGATAGATGGAAAGAATGTAGCAAAAGGAACAAAGAAATTTATTCTCTTTCAGAACCTAATCCCTTTCCCTATTTTGTGAAGAGAATTTTCCCCCGTTAAATGGTATCATTCTCTTTATTTTGTCTTCCTTTTTTATTCTCTCCTAGATTCCTTTCTTCTATCTTTCTTTATTCCTGCTTTGCATTCTCCTTTTTCTCCCCTCTCTCTTTTTCTTTCTTAGTCCTTCAATCTCTTTCTTAAAGTTCAAATAGAAATACCAGGCTTAATCCCTGGGAAGCAGCTCTGTTTTCCCTGCCATGGCATTGCACAACTTGTGGTGTGGCTCTTTGCCACCATTAGCTATCCAGTGAGGTTTTATGTCACCAGGGAACATCTTGTACAATGCCATTTTTTTTTATCAAAACCAAATAGCATAACAATGCATACAGGGCCTTGTTCACATCAACTTCATAAGATTTCACTATGATAAAAACAATGAAATTGACATCTAAAATCCATCTCTATTTGAAAACAGCCCCAGTGCCTCTCCCTTCTCTCTCCACCCTCCCCAGGTCCCCTTCCTATGCCCCCACCTGCTCACCTCCCCCCTCTTCTTGTCATCAAGTGCTTCCTTTGGCTTCCAACTGTTCAGGTTTCACCAGTCTGGTGACCCATTAGGACAGGGTTGCACCACACTAGGGTGAGGCTGGAAGAGAGGAGAGGAAAAGGCCCGCACGGAAAGTCCCACCAAAGCTGAGTTTGACTCCCCTGCAATCATAGTCTCAATAATCCTGGCAAAGTAGGAAGAACTTAGAGATGAGTACAGTCATGTCTCACTTAATAACAAGGATTTGTTCTAAGAAATGTGTAGTTAGGTGATTTTATCATTGTACACACATCATAGTGTGTACTTGCGCAAACCTAGATGGTATTGCCTACTGCACACCTAGGCTATATGGTATAGCCCATTACTCCTAGGCTACAAACCTGGACAGCATGTTACTGCATGGGATACTGTAGCACAATGGTAGTTATTTGTGTATCTAAGCATATCTAAACATAGAAGCAGTACAGTAAAAATGCAGTATTGTAATCTTATCAGACCACCATCGTATATGCAGTCCCTCATTGACTAAAATATTATGACTGTATTCTTATTGCAGGGATCAGGACAAAGTCACAGGCCGGAACATCTACAGAGCTGAGCAAGTTTCATCCCCTGGCTCAAGAGAGGCTTGGCCTGCTCATCAGCATAGAGGTATCTTTAGCCAGGAACCTCCAAAGAGAGGAACAGGATGTGCTTAGTCAAGATCAGGATGCAGAGGGTTGAGAATGCACTGATTTGAGAGCCCAGGATTCATGGCTCAGGCCAGCTTGTCATGGTATTAGACCCCCAGAAGGCAATGATAAAGGACAGGCTTTTCTCCCCACCAACTCCTTCCAAGTGACCCCCAACAATATGGCTAAATGGGACTCAGACCTTTCTCTACCTTGAGATAATCTTTGCTTTCAATTCCAAGAAAAGCTACAGAGCTCCCAACAGGAAGGTTTCACATTGTGACCATGAGCATGGAAACAAGTTCTTCAATGCTAGGTAGGTAGGAGGGAGGACTGGAAAAAGAGATGGCTTGCTAAAGACCAAGAAGAATAATTCCCCAGTGAGAAAGTCCTTGTTTTCTTTCCTACAACACAGGCTAAAGAGTGAACCCTCCTACCTACCTAACATGTGGATACCATCCAACAATTCATCCACTTATTCATTTGTTCAAAAAATATTCAGTGGAGTTCAACCACACATTAACATGATTTCATTGCTCTGGGAGTAATGAAATTATGCAAAACAAAGTGCCTGCTTTCACAGAAAGGTAGCAGGTACACAGCAAATAAATATTTAAAATAAATAAATACATAAAGTCCACTAATGATAAGCCTGATTATGGGTTTTGATTTTTTTTGTTTATTTAAGAAAAAGTATATAAAAAAGAAATTAGCTTAGGGAGCATGTGGCTACTTTAAATTATGGTGATCAGGATGGCTTCTCTGAAGAGGTAGCATCCAGGTGAGACCCATGTGAGTAGGAGGCAGGGAGGGGCATTTCAGACAGAGGGAATGGCAAGTCCCAAGTGTCGGAGACAGGAGCCAGCCTTGTGTGTTAGAGAAATGCAAATAAATTTTGTTGAGGCTGGAGTGGGGTACAGAGGAAGGGAGGGCATGCAAGGAGGTTGCGGAGGCAGGAACCACCTCTGTCCTCCCTCCTGCCTTCCTGGCTGCCAGGCCCGTCCACAGTTCCCTGTCCCTTTACTCAGTGGCTGGGTTGATCCTGTTAAAGTTCTATCTGGGGTTGGCTTGGAGAACCTCTGACTTCTACTGTGTGGAGAGGCCTCTTGGTTCTATACACCCTCCCAGGAAAGCTCCAACTCCTCACCTCCCTGCCCAAGCATCAGGCACAGAGATTAGTGAGCGATTTCTCTGGGTGTCAGCCCTTGGGTGTGAGATTTAAACTCTTAATTCCAAACCATTACAACATGGGTATCCAATTGCCTCTGATGACTTCAAATCATGATTTTCTTGTGTGTGCCAGACACTTTGTCAACGAAGGATTTCTCTGCCGGCTTCAATTTTAAGTGAGTGTGCTGTTTACTGAAACTCCAGCCTAATTAAAAACAAACCAGACAAATGAGACAATGAAAGGGCGTAGAATACCTCAATGAAATCTCCGTGAAAGGGTTTCTGGGCTCATCTAAGGAAAGGAATATGAAAGCATGTGTAGTAGGGGACATAAAAGGGACGCTGTTAAGGGCTTGAGCTCTGGGCTCCATCTGGGTTCGAATCTTGCTCTGTCACTTGCTAGCCACATGACTCTGGGTAGATTACTACCATCTCTGTGCCTCAGTTTCCTTATCTGTAAAATGCAGACAGCAACAGTGCCTTTAGTGTTGTGATGATTGAAGAAGTAAATACATAGGAAGCACTTAGAGTAATGCCTGGCAAATTGTAAGGACTCAAAGTTTGCTCAATTTTATTGCTGTGGGTGTGTTGCAAAGTTGATGTGGTCCGAGCTTTGTACTCACAGTGGCTCAGTTCAGTTCATTAGAGCTGGGGCACTGGAGCTAAAACTGTGAGCTGAGGGCCTCAAGTCCCTAGAATCACACCACATTTCCAAATCATTAAACTCCCAGACACAGGCCTTTGGTCCCAGAGAGAAAAATACAAAGATGTAGACAGTGCATCACACATCCATTCTTCCTTCTGGAGAGAACAGCTCCAGGCCATGGTGAGGGAGGGATTCTTCTCCTGCCTGAAGGATAAGCCTGGCACTGTGTAAGGGAGGCTCTGGATGTGGCACACTGACTCACTGGGCCACCAAGAGAAATCTAGTCCCCAGAAAGTTATGTCTAGGTCGGTGCTTTCAAACTTCAAGACAAAAAAATGTTTAAGCAATTGACCCTTTAATTGAAATGAAATCTCACCAGGAACCTCAACATATAAAACCGATAGAAGAGTCAAAGAACCCCAATCTCTCAGTCACCCCCTTTCTCCTTGTGACTGTCTCTGAAACAACTATGGGGAACATGATTTTTAAAAGAAACTGACTTAGCTATCAAAACCCCAAGTGAAGAAGTATGCATCAATTCCTCCAGTTGTACACCCTCTGACACTTCTATTAATTTTATTTACAAATAATATCTGTACATGGTTTTAAAAAGTCAAAATCGTCTCATGAAAAACAGCAATGCCTGTTCTACTCCTTCCTACTTTTAGGTTGCTCTCCCAAAAGGCAACAGCTCTCAACCTTTTAAGCTTTCTTTGGAATTGACCTTTCTATCTTTAAATAATGTGCTTATACTGCTAATTCTGGATTTTTTCAATTGTAGACATTTCTCTTTTGTCACTCGATAGTGGAGGATACAATTTATCTCTCTTCATAACCTCTATTTTGCTCTTTCTAAGTCTCCCCACCCCATAACGCTTTCCCTCCCATATTCACTCACAAATAGCTATATCAACTTTTTGTTAATTCAATAGTTGCAATTTGCATGATGATATCTATGAAAATATTGTTCATAGATGAGCCACATAATGTACTGTGATTATTTTTCCTTTTGTGAACATTTTTTCCTATATTAAAATGTCTTATTTTTCTTTTGCTTGGTTTTGTGTACCAAAAATTAATTAATCCCAAATTCTCACATAGGGCTATAAAACTCCTACTGAAGTCAAATCTGCCATGTACTTAGAGAGTTTCATGGTTTCTGCGGGGGAGGAATGTATATCCCTCTTGGAGATGCTTGGTCTCCCTCCCGTAGCCTAGACTGGTTGCTCTGTAAGTCTGCTGTGCTATTATTCTGGTCTTTCTTTTGCCATCATGCTAAGAATACCTTGAGCCTTTCTCTGGAGTTAAGTACCAGGGTCCTGGATTTCATGGTTTGGTTTATACCCCACCCCCATTTTTAGGGAAGTGTATCCTCTAGTATCTTCCCAAGAAGTGACTCTTTCGGAGATTATGGATGTTGAAAATATTTTTATTACATGCTCACATTTGATTAATGGTGGGCAGGTCAGTCTTCTACTTTAGTATCAGCTAAGTAGCACTTGTTAGACCCATGCATTTTGGTCTTTGTCCAAAAGTTGTAGAGTAGATGTGTATTTAACCCTACACATAAGACAGGATCCTCCATCTCACTTGTGAAAGGACTTCTGAAGACATAAATACCTGACCCTGGGTGCGTGACATGCAATCTACAGCAAGATAAGGCAAGAGATCATTAATACCCTCCTCATCTGCCGTCCTATTTTAACTCAGCAAACACCTGCAGAGTACCTGTGCTCTGTGCCATGTACTGTGCTCAATGCTGGGACTTGTTTAGGATTGAGATGATTAATTCATATATATTTATTTTGACAGGTTCACATGGAGCCCTCAGGCAATATGGCAGCACTAAGACTTTTCTGTCAAGCTGCTCTCCTCAACTAGGTCAGCTTCCCTCACTGCAGTCAGCAGAAGCCAAACTCAATAGATCAGCCTGCCAGGAAAAGGACATAACAATGAACACCAGCCTCTTGCAGGTGTCACTCAGCACACAGTACAGAAGACGCATTGTCTAGAGGTGAGGGGCTCTGAGGGGTCAGGAAACGCTCAGCCTCAGCTTCTCAGACAGTGAAAGTACCAGCACCACTGTACTCTGCTCCAGGAGAAGTCCCTGGAGCTTCTGGCAAATGGCCCATTCCTCCTAAGTGAGCCCAAGTGGAGGAAATCTTAGAGCAGGAGAATAGTAAAAACGATAATACAATAGCAACAACAATGACAATAGTAACAGTTGTTTTTATTGTTGCTACTGAAGTCAGAAGAGTTATGCCATTTTATTTTATTTATTTGTTAAATTTTTTTGAGACAGACTCTCTCTGTCACCCAAGATGGAGTGTCGTGGAGATTCTAGCTCACTGAAGCCCCAGCCTCCTGGGCTCAAGAGATCGTTCAACATCTCCAGTAGCTGGGACCACAGGTGTGTGCCACCACATCTGGCTAATTTTTGTATTGTATGTAGAGACAGGGTTTCGCCATGTTGCCCAGTCTGGTCTCAAACTCCCGTGCTCAAGCAATCCACACACCTCAGCCTCTCAAAGTGCTAAGATTATACAGGTGTGAGCCTGGTCAGAGAAACATCACTTTAATATGACTAACTGGAACATTAGCACTGTGCTAGGGACTCAGCAACATTAAGACATAACACTCACTTCTGCTTTGGTTTCCACAGATGTTTGTCATCTGCAGTAAGTGAAATTTCAAGAAAGAAATTCAACGAAAAGTAAAGATTACTGCTGTAAAAATGCATTTCTTTTCTGACCCTGCAACACTACTGCTACAATTTATCCCAAGGAAATATTGAAAGATGTGAGATGTTGCTGCTAGAAATTATGAAGTAATGAAAGGTCTGAGAAAAGATATAGTCTTAAAGATATTTGCTGAAATATTCCTATAAAATTAAAACGAAATCATGTAAAAATCTTCCTCATTAAAAATTTGGGTAGTATCCTCTTTCAATAGAATACTATGCAGTCATTAAAAATATATTCTAGAAATGTATTTATTAATGTGGAAAGGTGTTTATATTTTACTTTTGTACATATGTATATACAAATACATACATATATCTGTATACATATATTCAGAAAAATATTTGATAGGAAAAATACCAACATAATATATTATATATTATTTTTATACATGTACCTATACATATTCAGGAAAGATATGAGGCTGGGTGCGATGGCTCACACATGTAATCCCAACACTTTGGGAGGCCAAGGCAGGCAGATCACTTGAGGTCACGAATTCAAGACCAGCCTAGCCAACATGGCAAAACCCTGTCTCTAACAAAAGTACAAAAATTAGCTGGGTGTGGTAGTGCACGCCTGTAATCTCAACTACTAGGAGGGCTGAGTGAGGCAAGAGAATTGCTTGAACCCAGGGGGTGGAGATTGCAGAGAGCCAAGATTGTGTCACTGTACTCCAGCCTGGGTGACAGCGTGAGACTCTCTCTCAAAAAAAGAAAAAATATGTATGATAGGAAAACACCGAAAGAGTTCAAAGAGGTTATCTCTGGGTTGGTGGAGTAATCATCAGTTTTTTTTTTTTCTTGCTTATTTATATTATCCATGATAAGATGACTTGACTTTGTAAGGGGAAAAAAAAAGGTATTTTAATTATCTAGGATAAAGAAGAAAGGAAGGGCTTCAGCAAACCAAGGAAAAACCTTGAAGGGGGCTCTTCAAGGTGTATGGAGAAACAAACATATATGTGTGTGTGTGTGTGTGTGTGTGTGTGTGTGTGTGTAGTCTTAGACAACAGAAATTTATAGTTTCATGAGACTAGAAGCTAGAAGTTGAAGATCAAGTGTTCCTTCTGAGAAGTGTGAGGAAGAATCTGCTCCATGCCTCTCTCCTAGCTTCTGTTGCTCTGCTGCCAGTCTTTGGTGTTCTTTGGCTCATAGGTGCATCTCCTCGACTTCTGCCTTCGTGTTAACACCATATTCTTCTCGTGTGCATGTCCATCTCTGGGTCAAAATTTCCCATCTACTGCTTCCACATGAAAGCAAAACCTCTTCTCAATGGAGTCTATTTTCCACCATGTGCCGGATTTGAGGGTAACTGATTCTTCTTCTCCCCCATTTCCTCCTGACTTTGGGTCAAATGATTTGTTGGAAATCCCATTGATATATACAGTAGTGCTTCACCCAAGAAGTTCCAAAGTGATGTTTCTCCTGGATGTAGAGGTATCCTTCCATGGTATAGGAACTGATGGTCTTGTGTTCAGGGGATTCTCCTTCATCTTTTTCATCAGTGATTCCTGGCCTATGGCATCTGACTTTTTGGAGCATGGGCTAGAGCAGACCTGGCTTCAGGTGGCTAAGAGATTATGTTTTGGCTGCAGCCACAAGGTCCAGGCTGCCCACATAAGGTTGGTGAGTCAGGGCTTGCCTTGTATTGTTGTAAGAAGTAAGAATCATCCAAGCATCAAACTTGGAGGTAACAGAGAGGTCATCTCCCATCAGCAACCTTTACATAGATGCTGATCTGCTAGATGAAATTCTTACTTAGTGCAGATTATGAAAACCCTGCCAATAGTCCTGAACTGTATTTCATCTGCTTTCCAGTTAGCTTATAGGTTAGAAGAAACCATGCTATGCAACGTGGTGCTATCAGAGTGCTAGCCTTCCACGTGTAGTATAGTTTGAAGTCAGGTAGCGTGATGCCTCCAGCTTTGTTCTTTTTGCTTAGGATTGTCTTGGCTATATGGGCTTTTTTGGTTTCATATGAAATTTGAAGTAGTTTTTTCTAATTCTGTGAAGAAAGTCAGTGGTAACTTGAAGAGAATAGCATTGAATCTTCAAATTACTTTGGGCAGTATGGCCATTTTTACAATATTGATTCTTCCTATCCATGATCATGGAATGTTTTTCCATTTGTTTGTGTCCTCTCATAGTTCCTTGAGTAGTGGTTTGTAGTTCTCCTTAAAGGGGTCCTTCACATCCCTTGTAAGTTGTATTCCTAAGTATTTTATTCTCTTGGTACCAACCATGAATGGGAGTTCACTCATGATTTGGTTCTGTTTGTCTATTATTGGTATATAGGAATGCTTGTGATTTTTGCATATCGATTTTGTATCCTGAGATTTGCTAAACTTGCTTATCATCTTAAGGAGTTTTTGGGCTGAGATGATGGGGTTTTCTAAATATACAATTATGTCATGTGCAAACGGCATTAATTTGACTTCCTCTCTTCCTATTTGAATATACTTTATTTTTTTCTCTTGCCTGATTGCCCTTTCTCTGCTCAAAAATTCCAACACTATGTTAAATAGGAGTAGTGAGAGAGAGCATCCTTGTCTTGTGCCAGTTTTCAAAGGGAATGTTTTTGCCCATTCTGTATGATATTGGCTGGGGGTTTGTCATAAATAGCTCTTAATATTTTGAGATACATTTCATCAATACCTAGTTTATTGATTATTTTTAGCATGAAGGGGTGTTGAATTTTATTGAAGGCCTTTTCTGCATCTATTGAAATAATCATGTGGTTTTTGTCATTGGTCCTGTTTATGTGATGGATTAGTTATTGTTTTGCATATGTTGAACCAGCCTTGCATCCCAGGTATGAAGCTGACTTAATCGTGGTGGATAAACTTTAATGTACTGCTGGATTCAGTTTGCCAGTATTTTATTGAGGATTTTCACATTGATGCTCATCAGGGATATTGGCCTGAAATTTTCTTTTTTTGTTGTGTCTCTGTCACTTTTGGTATCAGGATGATGCTGGCCTCATAAAATGAGTTATTTGGAAAATTTTAGAAGATATGGTACCGACTTCTCTTTGTACCTCTGGTAGAGTTCAACTATAAATCCGTCTGGTCCTGAATTTTTTTTGGTTGATGGGCTATTAATTACTGCCTCAATTACAGAACTTTTTATTGGTCTATTCAGGGATTCAACTTCTTCCTGGTTTAGTCTTGGGAGGGCGTATGTGTCCAGGAATTTATCCATTTCTTCTAGATTTTCCAGTTTATTTGCATAGAGGTGTTTATAGTATTCTCTGATAGTAGTTTTTATTTTTATTTTTTGAGACAGAGTCTCACACTGTTGCCCAGGCTGTAGTGCAGTGGTGCAACCTCGGCTCACTGCAATCTCCACCTCCTGGGTTCAAGCAATTCTCCTGCCTCAGCCTCCCAAGTAGCTGGGACTACAGGCATGTGCCACCACACCCATCTAGTTTTTTTGTATTTTTAGTAGAGATGGGATTTCACCATGTTAGCCAGGATGGTCTCGATCTCCTGACCTCATGATTCTCCTGCCTCGGCCTCCCAAAGTACTGGGATTACAGGCGTGAGCCACCATGCCCGGCCGGTGGTTTGTGTTTCTATGGGATCAGTGGTGGTATCCCCTTTATCATTTTTTATTGTGTCTATTTGATTCTTCTCTCTTTCCTTCTTTATTAATCTGGCTAGCTGGTTTTGTTAATCTTTTCAAAAAACCAGTTCCTGGATTCACTGATTCTTTTGAAGGTTTTTTTGTGTCTCTATCTCCTTCAGTTCTGCTCTGATCTTAGTTATTTCCTGTCCTCTGCCAACTTTTGAATTTGTCTGCTCTTGCTTCTCTAGTTATTTTAATTGTGAGGTTAGGGTGCTGATTTTAGATCTTTCCTCATATCTCCTGTGAGCATTTAATGCTATTATTTTCCCTCTAAACACTGCTTTAGCTGTGTTCCAGAGAGTCTTAGCACATCGTGTCTTCGTACTCATTGGTTTCAAATAATTTATTTATTTTTGCCTTTATTTCATTATTTACCCAGTAGTGTTTCAGGAGCAGGTTGCTCAGTTTTCATGTAGTTGTGCAGTTTTGAATGAGTTTCTTAATCCTGATGTCTAATTTGATTGCATTGTGGTCTGAGAGACTGTTATGATTTCTGTTCTTTTGCATTTGCTCAGGAGTGTTTTACTTCCAATTATGTGGTAAATTTTAGAATAAGTGCTATGCAGTGCTGAGAAGAATGTATATTCTGTTTATTTGAGGGGAAGAGTTCTGTAGATGTCTATTTAGGTCCACTTGGTCCAGAGCTGAGTTCAAGTCCTGAACATCCTTGCTAATTTTCTGTCTTGTTGATCTGTCTAATATTAACAGTGGGGTGTTGAAGTCTCCCATTATTATTATGAGGGAGTCTAAGTCTCTTTGTAGGGCTCTAAGAACTTGTTTTATGAATCTGGGTGCTCCTGTATTGGGTGCATATATATTTGGGATAGTTAGCTCTTCTTGTTGCATTGATCCTTTACCATTATGCAATGCCCTTCTTTGTCTTTTTTATCTTGATTGGTTTAAAGTCTGTTTTCTCAGAGGCTAGGATTGCAACCCTTGCTTCTTTTTTGCTTTCCATTTGCTTGGTAAATCTTCCTCCATCCCTCTCATACACAGGGCTGCTTTCCACCCCTGCAGTCCTTCTGTCTGTAGCTCACATTCTGGCATCAACTAGATATCAACCGTATACTGCCTTGTGAACTCTATTGT